GGTAATGGAATCAGATAATGCTGAATTCTTTGAAAGCATCTATCCGCATAAAACTGAAAGCGAGTCGTTAAGTTAAAGACCTAAACGACCTCGGGAAGAACCAAAGGAAAATACTCCAAGTATAGAAGATCCAAGGCGTAGCAAACGTCAAAGAACATCTACTTCCTTTGGACCAGATTTTGTGACATTCTTGCTTGAAAATGAGCTTCAAACTTTTAAAGCAACTATGTCGTCTTCTGATTCAGCATTTTGGAAAGAGGCAGTCTATAGTGGGATTCAATCAATTTTGGATAACCCTACATGGGAATTGGTTGATCTTCCTCCAGGAAATAAGCCTTTAGGTTCGAAATGGATCTTTAAACGGAAAATTAAAGCTGATGGCACTATTGACAAATATAAGGCAAGACTTGTTGTCAAAGGTTATAGACAAAAGGAAGGCCTTGATTACTTTGACACTTACTCGCCAGTAACAAGGATAACATCTATTAGAGTGTTAGTGGCACTAGCGGCCGTGTATGGTCTTGAAATCCATCAAATGGATGTTAAAACAACTTTCCTAAATGGAGAATTGGAGGAAGAGATTTACATGGAACAACATGAGGGTTTTGTGGTTCCTGGTAAAGAAAAGAAAGTGGGCAAACTTGTTAAGTCGCTTTATGGACTTAAACAAGCACCCAAACAATGGCATGCAAAATTTGACCAAACAATGTTGGCAAATGGATTTAAAATCAACGAGTGTGACAAATGTGTTTACATTAAAAATACTCCAGGTCATGAAGTCATTGTTTGTTTATATGTTGATGATATGTTGATAATATGCAAAAGTATGGTAGATATAAATGCTACAAAGCGCATGTTGGCTAGCAAATTCGACATGAAAGACTTAGGAGTTGCTGATGTGATCTTAGTAATCAAAATTCGTAAGACTCCACAAGGTCTAGCATTATCACAATCTCACTACATTGAAAAGGTACTTGACAAGTTCAAGTATTTGGATTTCAAAATTGCCAAGACTCCAATTGACGTGAGTTATGCACTTCAAAAGAATGAAGGTGAAAGTGACTCACAACTGGACTATGCAAGAGTATTGGCAAGTTTGATGTATATCATGAATTCTACGCGACCAGAAATAGCATGTGCTATTAGCAAACTGAGTCGGTTTACAAGTAATCCCAATCAAATACATTGGATGGCAATGAAATGAGTTTTGGGTTATCTGAAACATACCCAAAATTATGCTTTGCATTATAACAAATATCCTTCCGTGATCGAGGGATATAGTGATGCAAATTGGATCACCGGATCATCTGAAGTTAAATCCACGAGTGGATATGTTTTCACAATTGGGGGTGGAGCAGTGTCTTGGAAATCATCCAAACAAACGTGCATCGCCCGTTCTACAATGGAATCTGAATTCATAGCTTTAGATAAGGCCGGTGAAGAAGCTGAATGGCTCCGGAATTTCTTGGAAGATATTTCATTTTGGCCCAAACCTTTGGCACCTATTTGTATACATTGTGATAGTCAAGCGTCAATAGGTAGGGCAGGGAGCGTTATGTATAACGGGAAATCTCATCATATTCGATGGAGACACAATACTGTTAGACAACTACTCTCTAGTGGTGTTATCACAATTGACTACGTAAAGTCAAGAGATAACGTGTCGGATCCACTTACAAAAGGCCTATCTAGAGAGGCGGTTGAAAGATCATCAAAGGGAATGGGGTTAATTGCCTAGGACAAGTCATCATGGCGGTAACTCTACCTAGCAGACTGGAGATCCCAAGAGCTAGGTTCAAAGAGATCAAACAAAGTTATGAATGACGGTTCAACATTGTCAACTAACTCAACCCATTCCGTGATGAAGACAATGTTCAAAAACGAGGTAAAGCATTAAGGCTTTTTGATAAGTCAATAAAGCTTAAAGCTTTTTAATGATTTGCTAAGTCTGGCAGGATATGACCAGATAGTGTGTCTTTAGGATTACACGTTTAGGAATCACTTATGTGAGTGTGAAGTGTAAGCCGCTTCAAGGAGAATGAAAGTAAAGGCCCATTCTCTAAGCACTCATGAAACCAGGTGGTGTTCATGGCTGAAACGAACACAACCGTGAGAACCATAGATGGTTAAGGATTGATTGTGTGACTTATGTTGTCTAGGTATACAACAAAGCTCGGCGGTTCAAAGATACAAATCTACCGATTGACCGAGTATAACCGATATAAGTTCACTACGGAAAGTTCAAAAGGAAACCTACTTATCCAGATGCAATTAATTCTTGCATGTAAAGCACACACACTCGTCCGTGCATTCCTTTAAGTTTATAGCCATTCCCCATTCATGTGGGGGATTGTTAGATTTTGTTGTTTAATAACAAAAAAAGTCTTAATGGAAAATGGTGGGAAAAGAAATGGAGGGAAGTGAAATTTTGAATGAGTTCACTAATGCACTTTGTCCCTCATTGGTAGAAAGAAAGAAAATCTTTTTGTATATAAAGAGAAGCTCATCTTTTAGCTCTTAAAGAGCTAAGAAGAAGGCAAGCCTCGCGCCGTCGTCGTCGCTCGCTCGCTCGGCTCGGCTTCGGCTTCGGCTTCGGCTTCGGCTTCGGATTCGGATTCGGATTTGGATTTGTCAAAGATTGATTGATTAATCTTTCTGGACAAAATTCTTTTCAAATATTTAATTAATTAATTAAATTAATTAAAAAAAATTTAATCCGGAATAACCCATGACCCGCGACCCGGTCCGGTCTGGCCCATTTTTCTTTCCCGGATTATTTTAAATCCGTATTAATTTTCCCGCAATATTTTCAACAGCCATGGTTGTTCTGAAACAGTGTCACACCTATTCCAACAGCTATGGCTGTTCTGAAAGGTTGCAAACCTTTTCAGCAACAGCACCGAAATTGGCTATAAATACACCTTCAAATCCCAGAATATTTGCTTACGAAATTTTCTGAATCTTCTTTTTCTTCTACACAAAAATTCCAGTGTGTTTTGCAGCCTTTGAGTGGTTCGCTGTTCATCGGCATTTTTGGTACCAATACTCCGGTGAGTTAAATCGTTCTATCCTAGGAGGATATATTCCAAAACCTCGGGTACTTGAGGGGAATAATTTTCTTAAGTACACACTGTGTATTCAGTGGGCTCGATTTGTTCCTACAACGTTTCAAAAATTATTTTTGAAGTTCGAATACTGTTTTCAGAATTTGTTTCTACTAACTTTCTGTTTCTGTTTTTCAGAAAGATTACTGTTTTATTTATTTACAGCAATACAGATTGATAACATAAATACCGTACCGTACCGTACCGACCGACGAACACCCCTGCTCGTGACCCATTTTCATTCTTAGTCAAAAAGGTAGTTTTGGTCCCATTTTTATCTATTAATCCACACTTGACCTTTTAATATGTTGGACTTCAAATTTTGGTTCAGTAATAAACGGGACCATTTGATCATCACGTCCGTTGCACTTAGAGAAAAGCGCACTTAAATGAGATAAGAAAGAGATTAGTGTTGTTTTTCTGTTTTTTCATTTGATGTCCGGTATATATTTTATGATTGATTAATTTGAATTTATATCGTGAAACCACATATTGGGGTAAAATATCCCTATTAAAGGCAATTCCATACTTAAACAATCTCTGATTAAGTACTAAGAAGTAGTTACTAAATCATATTGAAAAATATTTTATAAGTAAAACAGGCAAATTGAAGGCAGAATAGCCTAATAAACACTTCTACTTATCCCGCTTTGTCATCCCGGTCCCGATACTTTACGAAGTTTCATCCTGACACTTGTAGTTTTTAAAATACATTATTTTAAATCACTCCGGCCTCGCGTGTTCTTCAAACACACGATGTGGATGACACATCATAGTCCACATCAGATTTTAAATGACACATCATTATTTTTTAATTTAATTTTAAAAATTTAATTTTTTTTCCTTTTTTCACTCCTCCCCCACCCTTGACCACCTATCTCTATTTTTTAGAGCAGAAATAACACCACGATTTATCGCCTTTACCGGCGGAAGCACCACGGCGGACAACTAAAACCCACCATTTTCCAACTTTCCATTGTCCATCTCCCTTTCAGAAAATTTTACCACCGAAACTCCTCATCATTGGACAGATTTCAGTCCAAATTTTTTTCAGAAATAGTGGTCGAAAAAATGCAGGTGCCTTCGTAATAGACATTCAAGAGGCGTGATATAGCCGGTAAAAAGGAATCCATATGCCCACATTCTACATTGTACACCTCAAAAATATTCAATAGACATAGATCTAATTCATCTCAAAAACATTAATAGTGGTTGTCCTTCAAAAAAGATTTACTATTTTTTTCTCAAATATTGACTGAAGGTTTGTGAAAATGGGAAATCCGGGAATAACGGGAGAAAGTGAAAAGAAAAATGGAGGGGGGAAATAACAGGAAAGGATAAGAAAGAGAAAAGAAAAATGGAGAAGGGGTGGGAAAGAACGGGAAAGGGGAAGGGAAGAAATTGAAAGAGAAATGGGGGAGGGGATAGGGGAAAGAAGGAAGAACAGGATTTTTAATTTTTTCTTATATTATTCTTTTACTTTTATTTATTCTTGTTATTTTTTCTTCTTATTATAATCATTTTTAGTTTAACTTTTTTATATTTACTCTCGTTATACGCGTGAAATTCACGTATTTTGTCCAACTCAGCCATGAAGTTGCTACATATGTTTGGTCAACGATCAGAGGGGTTTAAAATAATGTGTTTTGAAAACTATAAGTGTCTGGATGAAACTTCGTAAAGTATCGGGACCGGGATGACAAAGCGGGACAAGTAGAAGTGTTTATTAGGCTATTCTGCCTAAATTAAATGTTAATGGGATAAGGTTTAGTTAAAGTGTGTTAGAAAAAGTCGAAAAGGTAAGAAACAATGAAATTTAAAAAGTATAAACAAAGGAAAAATGTGAAAATAAATACTAGGAATAGTATAAAGAGGTAAAAAAACAGAAAAGCTTTTACCTATCCAAGTTCTGCTACTGTTCTTCCTCTGCCACCTTTCAGTACTGCTACAGTATTAGCTAAGCTTCTCCATTATACACACCATACTATCCTCTTCCCCCCTCATAAACACACACACACACACTCTTTTCTCCATCACTTTATTACTAGTACCTTTTCTTCATACTATAATATAATAGAACCTGTTGTTTATACTATACTGGCTTTACCAACTATGGAGGCTTTCAGTTTACTGAAGTACTGGCGTGGTGGTGGCGCCACCGGTGTTTTCTCCACCGATTCCGCCGGTGCTAATCCTCGCACCGTCGATTCTACTACTGTCATCACCGCCGTCAGTCCTAACTCGTCAGACTCTGATTCCGACGATGAAGGAGACGACGGACCGTTTTTTGACCTTGAGTTCACTTCGGTTCCTGAAGATGAAGCCGAAGAAGAAGTGAAAGTTGAAAATGAAAGGTGTAAAATTAGTTCAGAGTTGGACGAGTCGTCGGAAAATGTGATTAATGAAGGAGAACTGAAATTCACGCTTTCCACGTCGTCCTGTTCGAGTATTGACGACGGCACGGATCCAAACGTATCAGTCTCACCGTCTGACGATCTTTTCTTCAAAGGTAGTTTGGTACCAATTGAGCCGTCGTCGCTGTTGCTAACCGCCTCCGAAGCAAATTCAAACTTTACTTCCTCACTGTTAAAGTCAGCAACTAAATTTAGAGTGTTAATGCTGAAACTGAAGAAGCCAAAATTTACAGCGCCAAGTAAAATTGAAAAATCTGAAGGTGATGGTGACGGATTTGTCTCAGCTACTACTCCAAAGCTACGGCGGAAGAGAGTATCAGAGAGTGAAAAAGAGGAGCCTCCAAATCTAACACAGAATAAGTTTTTCACTGTAAAGTTTAAGGTTGAAGAAGTTCCTATTAAGTCGTTGTTTACTAGAGATAACAGCTCAAAAGACAAAATTAACAGCGGCAAAATAGAGAAGCGAAATCCAGAAGAAGCTTGTTCAACAAATAATGCAACAAATTCAGCTTCAGATGAGAAGAAATTTACTAAAGATGTAATGCAAAAGTATTTTAAAAAAGTGAAACCTCTATATATTCGCGTCTCAAAACGTTACGGCGAGAAGCTTAAGTACTCAGGACAGTTAAGCTTACCCGGAAATGCCGCAACAAATAAGGCCGGTCGTTCGCCGCCTCCGCTGCCTCCTTCAGCGGAGGCGAAGGCGGACGCGGTTACGGACGCGGCACCGACGGTGGAGAAGAACCAGAAGCATGGGAATATCCCGTCGGGGCTGGGAATAGTCCGGAAACATTTGGGGAAAAGCAGATCGGCGTCGTCGGCGGTTGTTGCGGCAGCGCCGGTAGCATCAAACCGGCGTGACGACTCACTATTGCAGCAACAAGATGCTATTCAAGGCGCCATTTTACATTGCAAAAGGTCTTTCAATTCATGTAGAGGTAAATTTAACTAACATTTCTGAAATTTAACTTATAAAAATAAAATTTACTCTAATAGTGGAGTAATATTTTCTAAACACATTTCCCTTTTTTTCTTTTCCTTTAATTTTGTTTTAGATTCAGAGTCATCCATTTTATCACGTTCAGCAAGTGATGCATCACATGAAAAATCAACGAGCTTGACTACAGATTCATCTACATTAGAGGAGGCCAAAGCGGTGAGAAATTAGGAATTCGTTAATTGAAATCATTAAAATTAAGATAATTATGTTTAAAATCATTAATTAGTAGTACTAAGTTTTAGTTTAGGTAGGTTATGTCTTTCTTCAAGGGATTTTCCTCGATTACAGGGATTTCAACGGTCATGCAAAACAATGAGAGAAATGAGTGGTCAATTATCAGTTTTTACTCGTGCTTTGCTCTTTGTAAATAATTAATTAGCACTTTAATATTATATAATTATACTATTGCTCATTTTAGTTAGGAGTAGCTTGTAAATTGTAATCTGCAGGAAGCTTGTAAATTGTACTACTTTTACTACTCTGTTTGCTTTTCATGCATTTCTAGTTTATGTTTCTGTGTCCAAAAATATATGGGTTCAAAGTACAAGACAAGAAACTACATAAATTATCATAAACCACAGCTTTTATAATTAAAATTATTTTTAAAACTACTGGAAAAAAACCTTACAATATTGTAAATGGAGGGAGTAATTATTACACTAGAGTGGTTAAGGTTTTAGTAACTTCTCAAGGTTCCATGTACTAATACTTGTTGTGGGGTACGGGCTGGAGCTGGCCTTTGAGTTACGGTTGGCCGGACTAATATGTGAATTTGTTTGACTGGGCACGGAGTTTAAAAAAAAATAAGACTTAAAATTTATGGTCCTAAACAAGTTAAAAAGGGGCCCAAAGTATTCGTGTGGATATAAAAGCTTCTCATTAAGGATAGAATTATAAGTTTAAGCTAAATTGTTTCCAAATTTAGAAAGGGGTCATTCTTTTTGGAACGGACCAAAAAGGAAATAGGTTCACATAAACTAGAATAGAGGGAGTATTTGTTTGAAAAATTAAGTGATAATTGGTAAATCATAACTCAATGTAACAACTCAATCCACTAATGATATTGTCTGCTTTGGGCTTAGATTCGCATCACTAGGGTTTAAGATCTGTTTATTTATATATCCAGCATCTCCTCCTTAAGGACTCAGTGCCCTCGCTAAGGTTTGACCAACCGCTATTCAAGGTTGCACGCGGAGTGGTTCTGATACCGTATGTAATAGTCAAACCCACTAGTGATATTGTCCGCTTTGGGTTTAGGCCCGCATAACTTTAAAACGCGTCACTAAGGTCGAAAATATGTTTACTTATATTCTTTTCCGTAGTATATTGACGTGAAATTCACCTAAAGTGTAACGCTCAATTATTTAAATGTGTAAAATTTAGAACGCATAGGCTATAAATTCTAACCTTGCCTCTAGTTGGGTAAATCTTTCACTAGCTGAGAGAAAGTCACAAAAAAGTAGGATTAGATGTAGGGAGTTTGCCAATAATTTGAAATCGAGTAGTAACTTTTGGACTGATAAAGTCTCTTTAGCGGTCAACAAACAGGGTAAAGTGGAGGCAAAGATATCCTAGAAAAATGGCAAAGATATCCTAGAAAATTTTTCTTTACTATTCTTTTCATCATGCTTTTTTTCCTTTTCCTTTTTTCTTTTTTCCCCTTTTTGGGGGTTCTCATATTCAATGTAAAATAGAAGAAAATGTAAAATTTTATTTTGTGTCTCATACAACTGACACTAGTTGTATGAGATATTTTTTTGTCTCACAGTTTTGTGGACCCAAATTTTTGTGGACCCAGAAGTATAAGATTGGGGTCCATAAATTTGTGAGAGAAAAAGGAGTCTCACACAACTAACAATAAAACTTCTCGAAGAAAAGACAGGTGGGCCGTTCTTCTTCTTTCTTAACAAGCATAGGATTATAATCTATTGATAGGTAAGTGAAGTGTGTGTATTGTCTATTCATGTCAATATCGTAAGTCGTGAAGTTTATCGACGTTGATTTTGATGCTTACAAATTGATAGAATACTAATTTGTCTCCTATTGGGAGAATTCGGGGCTACAAAAGTGCTGCCACAACGCCACGCCCTTTTATTTCCGCGCACTATGAAATCTTTTTCCTTTGACCATTATGTTTGGTTCTTTCTCTAAGCTCTACTTAGTCCCACTAATTCATAATGGATATAATTTTCTCATTAATTTTTAGACGTTCGGAGTTAGATAAACTTTCTTTTCTTGGGTATAGGGTCCTTTACAAATGAGAAAAAAAGAAAAACTGAAAATCCTCTCCTCAAATGGTTAAAAATACGATGATTATATATCCTTTCGTATTTACATAAGTCTAAATTATCCAGCATTTTAAAACTATATGTAGCATTGTAGTTTGTTTGGCCAAGTTTTTTTTTTATAGGTAAAAACGCTTTTTTTTTTTCTTTCTAAAATATTGCTTTTTTTGAATTTTAAGGAGTTTTGCCAAGGCTTTAGAAAAAAAATTAAGTGCTTTAAGTAGAAGCAGAAGTTATATTTGAGAAGTATAAAAAAGTAGCTTTTCTTCAAAATTACTAAAAAATGCACTTAAAAGCACCTTTTAAAAGCTTGATCAAATATTAATTACTTTCAATAGTATTTTTTAAATCAATTAGTCAAATACAAATTGCTTCTCATCAAAGTACTTTTCAAAAATCACTTTTCAGAATAGGTTGATTTTGGAAGCTTGGCGCAAAAGACTATTAGTAACATGACAGTGTAAAGTTTTCATATAATCGTGTTATAAAGATTAAACCCCAGAAACAATTAGAATAATGTGTTAGGACGAGGATTTTTTTAATGGAAATCTATATGTGGAAGCTTAATTTTAAATTTGTTTACCCTAACATCCGAGTAACAATTAAACTTATTTGTGGTTTTAAAGATATGCGATTTAATCCAATACTAATTGATAAACTATGAATCAAACGTATAACTTAAAGAAATAAGTTAAATCAAACCAGTCGTGTAAGCAGACCTCGACCTCGAGCAAAGGCGACCTCAAGGTAATTGAACAAGAACAACAAGAATAGTAAAATAATAATAAGACGATTCAGTTGAACAGTAGGCAAAGAAGTGAAAATATATATTCTCTTCTCAATGATTGATCCGTTACAAATAATTGGAGTACCCTTTATATAGGGCCAAAAACTTGTTGCGACAAAAAATACTCACGCAAGTGTACGTGATCGTCAAGTAATAAAGTAGTGAGTAGAATATCGTTCCCACGAAGACTTGTGATTAACTATTGACTGATTCAAACTCAGTTAACATATCGATTCAAGAGATTTCTGACAAAATATAGAAGTGACTAATTTACTACCTAAAACTATCAAGCAATGAATTAACTAGAAATCAACCGAACAAATAGCAATTTCAAATAACAATCAATAGGAGAGGATATTCCGGGGTCACGGGTTAGCTAGAAATCGTGTTGCGTTCTTGGCTTAAAATGACTAATTGATTTATCTGGATTGTTGATTGACAAGGTTGATATTACTCATAAGAATTTGTCGAATTCTTACTCGCATATTCAAGCTAACTTAATGCTTATATGTCTATGGAATTAAGATTAACAAAAATGCATTTATACTTCCTGTATTTCAACCAAGCAAGAAATTAGGTATATTACTATCCTAATTGCGAATCCGTTCCCCGTGCCCGGGTTCAAGAACTTGCTCTATTTAATTCCATATGCAATCTAGAATTCCCACTTTCGAGTTCAACTCTAGATTCGTAGATAGTATTTCACTATTAGCTACTCATCAAAATAATTTAAAAAATAGAATTAAATAAACAACCCAATATGATAAACTCAACTTCGTCAAATTAAACATCAAACATCAACATTCATGTTTCACCCATGACCCTAGAACAATAGGGTTCTTAGCCATGGATGCTCATAGTAACAATTTCAAGTAATTCCCAAGAATACATAAAAATCAATAAAAGAAGGAGAAAGTAAGAACTCAAGACGAATTCCATGGTTCCCAAGCTTTGTCGTGGCTTTTTCTTGCTTCCCAATATGTTAGATGACCTAAAGAGGTGTTTTTGGCTTATATAGTCGTGGGCCAAAGTTCTACTAATCCTAGTCCGAATCAGCTTCAGGGATTGATGTTGGGGTGGATGTTTCGCATCCACCTCGTCTTCCGCTTCTCAGGTTCGCATGCTTTCGCATCCACCCTTTGTTCCTCCATCTCAGCTTTGCCTAGGTGCGGATGCTATGGGCTCACTTCACTGCTAAGGGGTACACCAAGTAACCTTCTTCCCAAGGTTAGATGCGACACATCCAACCTCTTCTTCTCTAGTTGGAACATCTTTTCTTTATTTTTTTGCACTCCAAACACTCTAAATCATCACACACAACTCCATTAGTCATAAAATAATAATTAAACCATGTTGGGCATTTTTAACACCAAATAGCAATAAAAAGCGGTTAAAATATGGATAAAGTAACATCAAAATATATAGAAATATGCCCAACATCACCACCCCACTAGAGGAGAAGAGGTTACTTAATTTTAATTCTGTGCGCTCTATGCTTATTGATATGCCACGAGAATAAGTGTTTTTTTCCCAGTGTATTGGACAATTTATCGTAGGCTTAAAAACACTCCGAAAGGGCTGTACGCAATCAAACAAACAACCCCACACTTATTCACTATCATATACTAGTGTCTCCCGGTTACTCAGACTTCGCCGGCGCCTAAATTTACCTCACAGGAAATTCGTCGAACAAGTGGTATGCAACGATTTTGCCTAGTTTGTTCTAACTATTGGGCAATTCGATTACCCTCCCAAAATTAACGAGATGAAGGGAGTTCGAGTTTATCATCTCACAATAATCACAAACAACAGGAACGACACCGACAAGTCCCAAACTTTCCTCAGTTCCCCTCTTTAATCATATGTGTTATATTCAAATTAATGAAACCTAAAATAGGGGAATTTGGGGCGGGAATCTGTTGCTTCCAATAAGAGAGAGAAGAGGGGAGAGTTAGGAGAGAGAAGAAGAGAGAAGAGGGAGAGAAATTACCTGTGATCGTTGAGGTGAGATGCAGTGAGGAGCGACGGGTTGAAGGAAGAAGATGATAGAGGAGTTTTAAACTAACACTTACCTAGGCTTGCTCGCCGGGACGCGATGTGGACGCTATAGACGGACTTCACTGCCTTGAGCAGTTGGTCCGTGAATTTTTAATGCTGAGGGGGATGCGACGTATCCACCCTGTTTTCCCATACCTGGAGTTATTTTTGATATTTAAATACATACCAGAACTAAATCCTACAAAAATAAATAAGTAAAATAAAAATAAACAAAAATCAATGAACTCCTAGAAAAAGAAAAAAAATCAGAAATAAAGAGCAAACGGTAAAAATGAACAAACTACAAGAACAACAGAAAATACTACGGTTGCCTCACAAGAAGCACCTGATTTAACGTCGCGACACGATGCAACACATTCTTC